GGCTGTTGGGCTCTGGGATCTTGCCAAGGTGGTTGGCCAGCCCGAAGGCGTGTTGAGGCGAGCGACGGCCAGAGATCAATAGTCCCCTTGACATGGGCGTGCTGTTGGGGCACGATCTGGTGGGCTAGCCTCTGAACCTACGAGAACAAAATTTTGCTTTACCTGGCACAGGCGTGCCTGAGTGTGCACGGTTGGGCTGCTGCTCTAAATTGGAAAGATGTCTCCTTAGTTAGAATGGTCGTGCTCATCGCGGTTAGAGCCTAACTCTTAGTTTAACCTGAAAAATATTTTGGGCTTAAAACTACAAGGACAAAAATGATTTAATAAATTTGGGAGATTGATAAAAAAAGAATAACAAAATAAAACAAATGGCGAAGAATTTTAAAGAAAAGAAATGGGTGTTCCCCATAAAAGCGCTTTTGTGTTACACGTGACGTAAAGCTCAATTGCCATAGAACCCCAATTTAGGCAACACTTATAGTTGGTTTGACTGGATCAAACGCCTCCATCTTGGTAAAACTTCAATCGTTACACATTTGACTATTGTGAAGCTTTCTATTCTCCAATTCATTTTCAATCGCTCCATGTTGGAAAAAAATTTCTTTGATTGTGAATGGTCGACCCACCTAAAGAGCAACTTTTTCTTTGGAAAAAGACGAAGCCTAGAGTTATAGAGCAATGCCTGTTGGCCGACCTTCAGATTTCTCACAAATTGATGGCTTGTATGCCATTGTTTAGTACGATCTTTATAGATTTGGCATTCTCATCAAGCATGGAGCCTCATTTCAATCTATCATATTCAGTTGAACGTTAACCTCTTTTACCCTTACCTCTTTTGCATTAAAGTTGAGGAAACTTGATTGCCCAATATGCTTTGGTGTTTCTAACTTCAATAGATAGATGACATGCCTTACCATAGACCATTCGATGCGGAGGCATACCAATTGGTGTTTAAATGCAGTTCTATACACCAACGTGCACATCGAGCTTTTTGGGCTAGTCTTGATGGTCCAATTGGTAGTTTCCAAAATTTTCTTGATTTCCTGATTTGGTGACTCTAACTTGCTCCACTTGTTTGTGGGATAGGTATGGGGACCTCACGATGAGTAACACCCATATTTTGAAAAGAAGGGAATCTAGGTTACTTTATTGCAAAAAAATGCTTACCTTCCATCCATGATTATTGCTCTATGAGTACCCATGAACGTGTGGAAATGTATTTTTTAATGAAGTTCATCACACTTCTTGGCGTCATTATTGAAAAAGGCAATTGCTCACCCATTTTGTAGACAATAATCCCATGCCACATAAAATGTATTGGTTTGCGAATTTAAGAGATGGAAAAGGTCCCATTTGAAATGCCAAACCCCAAACATAAAAAATCTCCACTCAAGGATTTGTTATTCAATGGCATCTCATGTCTCTTGGGAATATTCTCTAAACTTTGACAACAATCACAAAGAGTTGAATAAAGTTAAAAACCATCTTTAAATAAGGTTAGGCCAATACAAACCGCTTTCTAAACATGTGCCGCCGTTCTTGCTCGCTCCAAAATATCCTCTACTTCCATTGAATGACAGAAATGAAGAACACTTTCCATCTCTTCTTCTGGCACACATTGTCTTACAAGAGGTTGTCACTAACAATACTGAATAAGAAAGGCTCCTCCTAATAATAATATTAGATCATGAAATAATTTTTTCTTTTGTGATTAAGAAAGATTGGGAGGAGTAAATCTTGCAAGCAAGATAGTTTACTATATCAGCATACCATGGGAGCTTTCGTATTGGCTAGAAAGAAGAAGAAGATGTTCATGCGAAAGTCTTCATTAATTTGCAACTCTTCTTGCTTATCTTCCCCCAAAACTCAAGCCTTGGACAAGGTGATCAGCTACAAGGTTCTCAGTTCCTTTTTAGCATGAATCTCCAAACCAATTCCTGCAAAAGAAGACCCAACAAAAATTAGTCTAGGCTTTGCATTTTTCTTTTTTAACAAATACTTAATAGTGGAGTGATAAGTGTAGACTATGGTTTTTTAGCTTCAATCAAATATGCTCTAATTTATCAAATGCAAAAAACAATAGCAAGAAGCTCCTTTTCAGTTGTGCCATAATTTTATTGTGCATCATTCAATGTACGACTAGCATATAAATGATCATTAACTTTTTTTCTCTACTTTGCCCAAGAACCAAACTCTTTATGGGCTGATCACTAGCCATCACCACATGAGTTTAAAAGGTTAGGCGCCAATCTGTTAGCAATGATAGGAGCTTGAAATCAATTAACTTCTTCAACCTATTAAAAGCATTCAAACACTCTTGTTGTTTAAAATCAAAAGGAACATCCTTTAACTAATAAAATTACAAAGATGGTTTTGTTTGATTTTTGAGAAAATCCTGATAAATCTCCTATAGAAACCTGCATGGACCAAGAAACTCCGTACTCCCTTCACTGAATTTTGGAGCAGTGGCTTTTTCAATTACCTCATTCTTGGCTTTGTCCACTTCAATCCCTTTTTCTGAGATTTTATGCCCTAAAAACAATACATTCACTAACCATATAATGACATTTTTCCCAATTCAAAAATAAGGTTAGTGTCCTCAAATCGCTACATTCACTAGAGAAAGGGTTATGGAGACAAAGAATCAAAGGAAGAACCAAAAACGAGAGGAAAATCATCCAATTATAATATTTTAATGAATTTTTCAACCTGTCAGAAATTATGGACTCATACACCTTGAAAAGTCGCAGGGTGTATTACACAACCCAAAGGCATTCTCCTATAAGCAAAAGTACCATCAAGGGCAAGTGAAAGTAGTCTTTTCTTGATCCTCAGAAGCTATAAGTATTTTTTTGAAATACCCTGAATAACCATGTAGAAAACAAAATAAGGGTAACCTGCAAGTCTTTCCAAGCATTTTGATCAATAAAAGGTAAATGGAAGTGATTCTTTGCGCTGTTGCTTTGTCAACTTTCAATAATCAATACCCATCACGGCTAACCTGTAATAATTCTAGTAGGAATTAATTCATTATTCTTGCTAGAATAATTGTCTGCCTTCCTTCTTTGAGCAACTTGGAACGGGACTTACCCAATTTACTATCTGAGATTGGATAGATAAATGACTCAATTGTAGGTTTGTAGTCTTCTTCCTCAAGATCTTGTGCAGGCACACACTGGACTTATCCCCTTCAAAGTTCTGAAATTTGAACCCAACCTAAAGCCTTCTTATGCCTTTTCCTAGGAACCTGCAATAAACATTTTCCTTGATCAAGTGATAAGTGAGAGAAAATAATAACAGGAAAAGAATTATTCTCACCTAAGAATGCATATTTTAATGAGATGAAGAAGTTTGTTTTAATTCTTCTTTGGGTTCACCTTACTTCCTCACATTTGATGCTTTGATATTAATGTCACCTTTATCAATGGTCACTTTATTTTAACATCAAGGTTCCTTTTTACCACAATCATCAATAAAACATCAATTCTAAGCAATCATTAATATCCATGGAAGCTACAAGATTTTAGAACATAAAAAACAACTTTCCTCTTGACCTTACCCTTAAGGTTAACTTACCCTCATAGACATCAATCAATGCTCTTGCAAGTTGTAAGGAAAAGCCTTCCAAGGATTAGGTCCTTCTCTATCTTCATCAATGTCAAGAATAATAAAATCAATAGAAAAAAATAAATTTACCTCTCTTGGACGAGCACATTCTCTCTACAATTCCTCTCGGATATTGATTGATCGATCCGCCAAATTGTAGAGACATTTCTTATTGGTTCAGCTCTTCCATCCCTAGCATCTTGAAAACTTTCATAAGACATTAAGATTAAATGCTTGCACCTAAATTTGCTAAAGCTTTTTTCAAAATCAAGATTTTCAATATTACAAGGGATAGAAAAACTTCCTGGATCTTTTTAACTTTGGAGGAAATATATTTTGGAATGATTGCATCTACACTCTCTATTACTGTTTCCTTGATCATTGATCTTCCTTTTCTTTGGCTCAGGAATCTCCTTCAGAATTTTTGCTAACTGGGCATTTGAGCAAGGGCTTCAGGCAAAAGGGATGTTTTGAAGCTTTTTTAAAAACATTTCAAGAAAACTTGAGGAACTCCTTATCATCCTGTGATTCTGAGCCCTTTATGGAAAGGAAAGGTGGAACATAGGTTTCACTTTTCTTTTCTCTTCAAGGTCAATTATAGGATCTTTTTCTGCCTCCTTTTCGTTCCTTCCTTCCTGGGTGGATCCTCCAATTGTTTGCTATTCCTTAAAAGTTGATAGCTTGTACCTTTCTTTTTGGGATTTCTCAGTTGTTATGAGGTAACGTACCTTGAGGTCTAGATCCATTCATGTTAGCAAAAACTACCCTAGTTGAATCTCCAAGTTTCCTTATCGCAGGGCTTGTTGGTTTTGTGATTTTCCTTGGTTTCGTTTCATGAACTCCATGTGAGATTTAGAGAGGAGCAGTAAAGAAGATTTCATCATGAGTCTTCTTCTTTTTGAGAAGAGAAATTTGGTGGTGCATTTAAGGCGTTTGGATTCTTGTAGAAAGATGAGGATGATTCCTCAACTTGTTATCATTAAGAGTTAGGATATGGGTGTTCTTTCTTCCTTCATTCATCACATAGTTGACTTGCTTCCAAGTTTGCGAATTTAAAGAATCCACATGCACTCTCTAATTCCATTATTTGTCCATTACACCTGTTCACATGCTTGCCAATGCGAATTAACAGAGTTAGTAGTCAACAAATCCAACTTCTTACCATATGTCCACTTTGGCATTGAGTGCGGTAATTGCATTAATCTCATAAACTCTTGGTAGGCTTCTTCTTTCTGAACTTTTTTTATAATGGCTATTGCTTGGCATCTCTTCTATCAAAAATATACCTCATCAATTTTCTTTCTTTCAAAAGATCCACCAGTAGACATCTAAAGTAATCTTTATATTTAGGAGATAATGCATTATAAAAATTTGTACATGTAACCACTTAGGTAAAGCTATGATGTGGGCAACTTCCTCATAGGTCCTTTAATCTCTCCCAAGCTTCATACCCAAACTCTCTTAATCCTGGTGGGCAAAAGTCATTATTCTCATTACGAAGCTTTGTTGGTCGTTTGAAGATGGAAATAATTTTTTGCCAAGAATTTCTGGGCTGGTTCCTCCCATGCAGAGTAAAACTTCCAGCAGGGGCATGATTGTAACCAAGACCGTGCTTTATTCCCTAAGTGAAAAGGGAAACAGTCTCAATTTTTATGGCACCTCCAAAAACTCCGTTTTGCTGAATGGTATCACAAATCTCCAGGAAATTTGTTGATATGGGCATTACGATCTTTTCATTAGGCCAAACCTCCATATTTGAACTGAGGTGGAAAGTATTTGAATATTGCAGGTTTTGATTCTCGCAATTTGTTAGCTTCCACCTTAGGCTTGGTTGATACTTGAGGTGCTCCATCAGGAGAAAGAGTTGTTGTAGTCTCGCAAGGTGCGGGGACAAGAGGTTGAAGTCCTCTATTGTTATGAATGGGTAATTGGTTGGCGAAATTCTGATGTAAAGGATCATTCTCTATGTCTAAATCATTAGCCCAATATTTGGCTTGTTGCTCTTGGAATCTTTTCCTTGTATTCTCTAGCAACGTTGTTTTCTGTTGACAAGGTCTTTTCAATTTCTGGATTAGAGGACTAAGGGTTCAGTTCTACCGGTCTTTGCATATACACATTTGAAAATACTCTTCTAGAAAAAGTAAAAGTGAAAATAAAATAAGGTCTAAATTAATAATAAGGTAATAAGTATTGATATTGGTAACGCCAATCCCCGCAATGCGCCAAAACTTGACAAGGCTTTTTTCGCAAGCGTTACGAAAATCACGATAAGTATAAAGAATGAATAGGAAGTATTCATTCCACAAGGTGTATACCAAGTTACCAATTGGTGTTAACTTACTTATTATTTAGATGACAATAAGGAGAATTATTTTTAAAATTTAAATAAGCTAAAAGAGAAGAAATCAAACAAGACAATTCAATGAAAAGGAATCAAGGATTGAAGCTACTAGGAATTTTGATTCTTCACTTATTCTATCCCAATTTATTTTATTAGTTTTGATAATCATTTTTAATTTCAAAGTAGGGGAAACAACCCTAAAATCACTAATAAGCTCTTCTGATATTGCGTAGCTATTTTAAACCCGATTAATTACCTATCTTCCAATAGTGCAATCAAACATGAAGATTTAAATCATTAATTTTTTATGGTTTGTTTATTTGAATTCATAACCCTAGGTCATTAACTTACAAACACCCTAGAGTTTAAAACCATATAGCTTCCGCATCAAGTTATTATCTCATGTAATTATTACCTTTTTATATCAAAAACCCTTCTCCTGGTGGTGATTAATGAATTAAATCAATCAGGAGAAAAAAACTCTGTCTGAAGCATTAAGTTCGATAATGAAATTATACTTTGAATAAAGAAAGTTGAAAATCTAATATTATAAATTGGAATCGAAATTAAAGCCACATTTCAAATTCCTAGTATGAGAGTTTAGTTTCGACTTAGTAATTAATAAAAACTCAATTAAAATTTGTAAATAATCCTATAAAGAATAATAAAACAAAAGAGAGTTTTAGAATAAAAAGTTATTCGACGATAAACTTAAAAGGTTTTTCTTGAATCTTGGACACCATCTTCAGCACTTGAAGTCTTAAGAGAGAAAATTATGTAGAATTTAATAAAACAAGAGATGAATATGAAAAACACCCTCAATCCTAGCTAGTTCTCTCTTCAGATAGACTTTCTGGAAAATATCTTTGTTGTTCCTTTAGGAAAGTGGATCTCTATTGGTAAGAAATCTTTTTGAGATAGAAAACTATATAGGCTTTGTTTCTTCCTAATTATGACTCTTACAGCATCTAAATAGGATTTAAACTTGTTTTGGCACGTCAAAAAAGGCAATCTCATGCGGGTTCCATGCAAGCGGCACAAGCTAGAACTAACGTTCTCATCCCAAGGTAAAATCTAGTCTTTCAGCACAGGCGTGCTGTCTGGCACAGTCTGGGCATGCTAGGCTCTGTGTCCCTGAGTGGTTCAGCACGGCGTGTGCTGAGGAGTTGAGCACGCTCCAACGATCAATAGTTGCTTGCAGCATAAGCATGCTTCTCTAGCATGGACTTGGTCGTGCTAGGGGCCTGGAGACTTTTAAGGTTAGTTGCAGCACGAGCTGTTGGAGTGAGGCATGCTCAAAGATTCGACAGGCCTCTTGTAGCAACAGGCGTGCCATCTTCTGAACCTCTGTTGAATTCAACACAGGCCACAGGGGTGCCTAAATAACACGCCCAAGGCGATGCTAGCTTCTGAACTTAGGAACACTCTTTTCTGTTTTTGTTGTTTTTCTATAAAATGCTGCACACAATTCCCCAAGATCAAGTGAAATTGATTCAAGGAAGCCTTTAAAACAAAAAACATAAATAAAACTAAATTAAAAAAACTAATTAAAGTAATTAAAAATACTAAAATTCCTTAATAAAAAACTATTATTAAAAATACTATAAAATAACTATCTAATCAATAATGCAAAGTTAAAGACCTTATATGACTTAAAAGTTTATGTTAAATGAATTAGGAGGATAAAAAGTTATCATTGATAGGTAGAAAATTGGCTAAATATTTTCGAGAAGTCATTTATATGACTGAAAAGTTTATTGGTCTAATTATGAAATCAATTATGATTTAGAAGTTAAAATGTTTTATCTTGGAAAATCTTATTTAGTTAATGAATTACCAAATCTTTATTGAATAAATGAGTAAGTTAGTTAAAGTGCAAAAAAGATGCATTTTTATGGACTTTCATAACTTTGTCGGCTATATGAGCTCATCTTATGTGTTTGAAAATATATGAATTCTATTCAAAGATTTAGTAAATTCAATAAAAACGTTAAATAATTATATATATATATATATATATATATATATATATAGATTTCATATTAGGACCCATTAAACTGTTTCAAGTATATAAATGACTATTGGTGTATTGAGCTTTATGAATTGATGGTATTTGATAAAATTGCCATGATTGAGTTTAAATAAATTTAATATATGTGTGTGAGATGGCCCGAAAAAGGCCTCATAAGGAACACATTGTTATGGGCTTACCTATGGTTCTTAAAGGTAAATTCTCTATAATATAAGGATGAGTTGTGATTTCAAAAAGATCTGATACCCTTGATTAAATGAAATTATGGAGTGATGTTTGTCCACTGGTCTAATGCACTTCTAATATTCTACATTTTTTAGTTGATTTGCTTTAAGATGTTTTAGAAGCATGATCATGCATGTCAAATGAAAGTTGATAAGCAAATATATTTGATTAACTTGCAAATATTCATTTGTACAAATTTGTATTGCTTGACATGATTACTAAAATGGTAAATTGATTTTTTAAATTAAAATCAAGTTATCATGCTATATTGAATGATAATTATGCTAAAATGACTTAAAGAATGCCAATCCAACAAATGAGCATTGTGTAAAATATTTACATATCCTATGATTATATGATATTGTTATTGTGAAAAAAAAAGAGATAAAGATTATTAAAAGTATAATGTAGCCCTTATAAGCTTAGTGGAGTCTAGTTAGAATAAGGAGGTGACATTGACTAGTATACTGTCTAGCAGTTATTATGATTCACATTGGGATTTTAATGGATATATTGACATCCTTAGGTTGCTTCGCGCACTGCTAGTGAGCTTTAAACCGACGCCCAATATGGGCTTTCGAGGCCAATTTTTGGGTACTTGGTGCCTTAAATTCGATACATTCCCTTTATACGGTTTTTAGTCTTTACTAGAATTTATTTGGGGCTAAACATGTGATAAAGATAACATATTATTATTGAACTTTTAACATTGCTTGGAATTAATGGAATTGTAAGTGTATATTAGTATATATGTATAAATTCTCTTATGAGTAAATCAAAATTTTAAGATGTGATTACGAGCATTGAGTTTAAGTCTATGTGTAAAGCTATACATGAATGCTTTGGAAATATAGGATTAATAATTATATATGTGCATGTTAAAAGGGCTATGCCCAAACCATAATGAGTTATAGTTATTTTAATCTTCAATCTTGATTTCATACTATAATGTATCTGCACTTAGTAACTAACATGTGAAAATTCAATACTATGCTTATTGATGCTTTCCTTTAATAAATTGAAATGAATATTTAATTGATGTATAGTTGATGAGAATTGTGTGAATGCTATTTTGCTTTTCTGTGTTTTTGCTTGGGATTATATACCCATTAAAGCTATAGCTTATGCACTGAGTTTTCTACGCAAAGGTAATTACAAGACAAGCTGTATTTGGAGAAGATATATTGGTCTACTTTGTTATTAGAGTTACACTACATTGAAATTAGGATAGGTTGTTCTCTTGTAATAGATCTAGTAAGTTATTTTTTACTTTGCAGTATATATATATATATATATAATATATATATATATATATATACTTATATATATGATATAAATTAATGGTATAGACTTAGTTATAAAGTTTTGTAAAAATGATTGTTATAAACTAATGTATATATATATATAAATTAATGGTATAGACTTAGTATAAAGTTTGTAAAAATGATTGTATAACTAATGTATGTGGTTGTGAACTTTAATAGGCTTTTGATTTGATTGGAATATCACATGCATGTGGAGTGTAATATATGATGAAATTAAGATTGATTTAGACTTTATATGAAATACAAAGTTAGATGTAGCTATGAGAATTCAACATGATTGATATTATTAAGTATTGTTGTAAGCAGGTTATTAGATTTGGAATATTAAGAATGTAAGGAAAATTATGTTTGGAGTTTTCCTGTAAAATTTTATGTTTAGAGTTTTGCATGGCTAGGATAGGAATATTATGATTAAAAATTTTTTAATTAGTAGTTTTAGACTTACAGCTTTTAGCACAGTATGCAACATGTTTCCTCGATCTATATGTAGACTAGGTGGTTTATCTTTAAACCAGATAACGGGTGTTATAATGTAAAAGTGATCACCCAGAAGTAAATAATCATACAATAAGAGTATCTTA